GTAGAGATGAGGTCTTGCCAAGTTGCCCAGGCGGGTCTCGAACCTGCGGACTCAGGCAATTCACTCACCTCAGCCTCCCAAAGGCGCAAGATTACAGGTTGAGCCACCGAACCTGGCTAAAAGTTTATTTTTTAAATGGGTTTTTTTGTTTTTAAGCCAAAGGCGTGATAGCCGACACCTGTAATCTCAGCACTTTGGGAGGCAGAAGTGAGAGACTGCCTGAGCCCAGAGCTTGAAGACCAGCCTGGGGAACTTGGCGAGACCTCGTCTCTACAATAAATCAAAAAATTAGTCAGGTATGGTGGTACATGCCTGTAATTCCAGCTACTTGAAAGGCTGAGGTGGACGGAGCACCTGAACCCAGCAGGTCGAGGCTGTGGTGGCCGTGAATGTGCCACTGCACTCCAGCGTGGGTAACAGAGTGAGACTCTGACAAAAGCAAAAACAAAAAAAATTAAAATGGGGTTTTTAAACATAGCAAGAAGTTTGCTGGGCATCTCTTCCCCTATAGTTAAGGCCAGCCATCAAGAAACAGTTCAAGCCCTGCCAGCTGTGCGGCTTGGGCAGGTTACTCCATCACCGTGAGCCTCAATTGTCTCGCCTGTGAAATGGAACTCGCAGTGGCTGAGTGGATCCCATAAAGTGCCATATGTCAGGCCCCTGACATAGTGCCTAGTGCTGTGTCCTGTGGATGGTAGTTGCCCTCTAGTGGGGCCAGTGACTAGAAAGAGACTTTGCAGACTGAAGTGTTCCTTAGAGGGAGTGTGGCCATCCAGCTCCTGGTGTGGGAGTGGCATCCAGAGCCCCCTGGCCCGTGAGAGAGGACCGGGTGTGGGCCCAGGAAGGGGGGAGCTCACCCGGAGAAACGGCTTGGTGGTGGAGCAGCTGAGGTGCAGCTGGGCCTGTGGCCTGGGAGGCAGTCTCGTGGGTGCCTCTTCCCCAGCCCACACCTCAGGTTTGCAGCTGGGTCCTGCCTCCTGTCGAGTGGGCCATGGTGAAGATGTGGCTGCTGCTTCTCCTGGCCCTTGAGTGTCCAGCCCTGCCCACAGGTGAGATCCCTCTTTATGTCCCTCTCTAACCCCCTTTAGTCTGCTTAAGCCCATCCCCTTACTCTGGGCCTCCCTGGGTATTGAAAGGAGGCAAGATAAGGGTCATTTACTAACCCTTGGCAAGGATCTCCCCAGAAGCCCACCATCCCCTTCCCGTTGTACTCTGCTGCCAGCCCCCTTGCTCTAGACCCCCAAGTCCTCCTGCCCTGGAGTCCACAGTGTTAATAAGAAAGGCGGGCCCTCCTGGGGGAATAGAGAAATGAGAGCAAACTGCATGGACACCCACAGGAGCTGGGGATCAGGGTAGCCAGGACTGTGTTAGTGATATGAGTGATTCAAGGTCCAGTCCTGTCTTCCTGCCCTCAGGGTGTCCTATTTCAACAGAACTCAGGGTATGCCAAGTTCACTCCCAGCATGTCCTGATGAATGGGCTCAGGAAAAGTCCCAAGGCCTCTTCCCAGGCTATTTACTCCAACCCTCCAAAGATTAGCCCTGGGACCAAAGGACTCGAGTTTTGAGGGGAGAATTTCAGCTTCATCTAGAAGCATGTGCATGTTTGTGTGTGTGTGGTGCAGGGAGATCCTCGACTTTTGAGTCACGGAGTCTCCTTGAGCTAAAGCTGGCTCCCAGCCAGACGCGGTGGCTCACACCTACAATCCCAGTACTTTGGGAAGCAGAGGCAGGAGGACTGCCTGAACCCATGGATTCGAGACCAGCCTGGGCAATATGGCGAGACCTCATCTCTACAATAAATCAAAAAATTAGCCAGGCGTGGTGGCACACACCTGTGGTTCCAGCTACTTGGAAGGCTGAGGCGGAAGGATCGCCAGAGCCCAGCAGGTCAAGGCTGCAGTGGCCGTGAGCATGCCACTGCACTCCAGCCTGGGTAACAGAATGAGACTCTGACTCAAAAAAATAAAGTAAAATAAAAATAAAGCCAGCCCCCAGTATGTCACTGGCACTCCCTCACTAGGGAGATAAACCACATTCATGTGGAACAGGGGGAGCCCATGCCTGGAGGCCTGAGCTCTGGGAAGGAAGCAGCCAGGATGAGGAGCAGCAATCCTATAAGGCTTCATGAAGGAGGTGGAAGTTGAACTCCACCTGGGGAGTGTCTCCAACTGTGTAGCTGAGAAGGCTCGGGGGTTGAGGGTCCTGGAGCTCACTCCCAGCCTTCTCTACTCCCTTTGAAATGTTTTATAAATATTAATATGATAATAGCAACAGTACTTATCTATCATGCCATTTTACATTAATGATCTTTACGCTTCATAACAATTTTAGTGAACTGGTGTTATTAACCCTATTATACTGATGGGGAAAATGAGTCTCAGAAAATTAAGTGAATGAGTCAGGAGGCAGCCCAAGCCTCTGTCTGAGGCCATGGCCTAGACATGGTCCACTGTGTCATGTGGCAAAATCTTTTGTTATTTTTTTTGAGGTGGCATCTCACTCTGTCACCCAGGCTGGGAGTGCAGTAGCATGACCATAACTCACCACAGGCTATTCCTCCTGGGCTCAGGAGATCTTTCCACCTTCACTTGTATTTGGGACTACAAGTGCGCACTACTGTGTCCAGCTAATTTTTTTATTTTTATTTTTGTAGAGATGAGATCTCCCTGGGTTGCCTAGGCTGATCTCAAATTCCTGGGCTTCAGGCAACCCTCTCACCTCAGTCTCCCAAAGTGCTGGGATTACAGGCATCAACCACCACTTCCAATTTTTGTGGGACAAAATCTTTTTTTTTTTTTTTTTGAGTTGGAGTCTCACTCTGTCGCCCAGACTGGAGTGTAGTGGCCGCTCCCGGCCACCGCAGCCTCGACCTGCTGGGCTCCGGCGATCCTTCCGCCTCAGCCTTCCGAGTAGCTGGAATTACAGGCATGCGCTACTACGCCCGGCTGATTTTTGATTTATTGTAGAGATGAGGTCTCGCCAAGTTGCCCATGAGCGTCTCGAACCCGTGGGCTCAGGCAATTCACTCACCTCAGCCTCCCAAAGGCACGGGATTACAGGCTGAGCCACCAAGCCCGGCTATGGGACAAAATCTTAGTCATCTTACATGATGAGGTGGTCTATGGAATTTGGAGTCACAGAGATCTGAGTTCAAATTCTTACTATCCATGTGTTCCTACACCAGTTGTTTGACCTACAAGAGATCTTTCCAGCATACCCTTCTCTCTTATCTCTCCACAAAAGTCTCTGGCACTCTTCCCTGTACTCTGGAGCATTTAGTTAGCCTGGCTACACCTAACTCATGGTGTGGAATTGTTTGTAGGTTTTAACACTGAAGACTTGCTTTCTTTTATTCTTTGAGTCAGGGTCTCACTCTGTTGCCCAGACTGCAGTGCAGTGTCATAATCACAGTGATCATGACTCATGACAGCCTTGACCTTCTGGGTTCAGGTATTCCTTCCACCTCAGCACCCTGAGTAGCTGGGACTACAGGTATGCACCATCATGCCCGGCTAATTTTTTTATTTTATATTGTAGAGACTAGGTTTTGTTATGTTGCCCAGGCTGATCTCGAACTCCCGGGTGCAAGCAATCCACCCACCTTGGTCTCCCAAAGTACTGGGATTACAGGCATGCGTCACCATGCCTGGGTTAGAGATTTTATTCTATGAAAAAAAATCCAAATATTCAAAAATAGCATTTCATTATACATTTTTTTTTTGAGTTGGAGTCTCACTCTGTCGCCCAGACTGGAGTGCAGTGGCCACTCCCGGCCACCGCAGCCTCGACCTGCTGGGGTCTGGCGATCCTTTCGCCTCAGCCTTCCAAGTAGCCAGAAGTACAGGTGCGTGCTACTACGCCTGGCTAATTTTTTGATTTTATTGTAGAGATGAGGTCTCGCCAAGTTGCCCAGGCAGGTCTCGAACCTGCGGGCTCAGGCAATTCACTCACCTTGGTCTTCCAAGGTCTTTCGGTCTTTTGAACCTGCGGGATTACAGGCTGACTGAGCCCGGCTGATAGACCTATTCTTTAAGTGGGTGAAATGTATGGTATGTGGATTACATCTAAACAAAGCTGTTAAAATAAAACAAACTAGAATTGGACATAGTGATGCATGCTTATAGTCCCAGCTACTTGTGAGGCTGAGATGGAAGGATCATTTGAACCCAGAAGTTGGAGGCCAGCCTGGGCAACACAGTGAAGACCCTATCTTAAAAAAACAATAACAAAACAAAAAAACAAAAACAAAAGACCTACTGACCTAGAGGGAAAAAAAATGGAAAAAATACAACCAATATCCACATACACACTCCACCTAGATTAACGAATAGTTGACATATTGCCATATTTGAATCAGAACTTTTTTTAAAGAAACAAAAGTTACAGAGAGATTTGAAGCCCCATTTGATCTCATTCCAGGTTCTATTTCCTTTCTTTCCTCCCCAGAGGTAACCACTCTCCTGAGGTTGGTATAACATGGTATTTTAAGTATTTGTCTCTGCATCTGCTAACTTTGCCTCAGTCCCATAGGACTGAATTCCTTGAGGGCAGGGATGACGGTATACCCAATGTTATATCCCTAGACAGACATATAGATGGAAGGTAGACAGAATAGATGAATGGTGGAAGAAATGATGGATGAATAGATGGGTGAATAAAAGGATGGGTAGATGGAAGAAAGGAAGGGTGGTTAGATGGGTAAAAGCAAGGAGGACGGATGGATAAGTGGGTAGAAGGATAGGTAGATGGATGGTGTAAGGATAGACAGGAAGATGGAAGCCCAGGATCCTAGACTAAGTGAGGTGCTGGCCCGAGAAGGCATAGACTGGTCTAGACCCTCAGGTGCATGCTTTCTTGCAGGTGTGGGCAGCACGCCCTTCCCTTCTCTGGCCCCACCAATCACGCTACTGATGGACGGGAAGCAGCAGACGCTGGTGGTCTGCCTGGTCCTTGATGCTGCTCCTCCTGGCCTCGACAGCTCCACCTGGTTCTCAGCCGGCAATGGCAGTGTACTGGACTCCTTCACCTACAGTCCTTCCCCAGCAATGGATGGCACCTGGACCGGTTTGGCCCAGCTCTCCCTGCCCGCTGAGGAGCTGGCAGCCTGGGAGTCCTTGGTCTGCCACACCAGGCCTGGAGCAGGGAGTCACAGCAGGAGCACACAGCCCCTACAGCTGTCAGGTGGATGCTCCCTGTCCCCTTCCACATACCCTGGAATCAGGATACAGTCGGAGGGAGGGCAGGCTCCAGGCCACAAAGACAAGAGGGTGTGCAAGTGCAGCCCACGCGGGTGAGGTGATGCCTGAGCTCATGGCAGAGTGGCCTCAGGGCCATGAATCCTGAGATTTACAACTGCAACATCTGGTTCAAACCCAGGCTCTGATGCATGACTTCCAAGAGATAATAACGCTCCCTTCCACCTAGGATTGATTACACACACACACACACACACACACACACACACACACACACACGCACACACACACATACATCACTCTGTAAATAAGATACGACACCCTATCAGGATCAAATAATTAAATAACAAATTGCTAGGCGTGGTGTTTCACACCAGTAATCCCAGTACTTTGAGAGGCAAAGACAAGAGAATTGCCTGAGCCCATGAGTTCAAGACCAACCTGGGCAACATGGCAAGACTTCAACTCTACAATAAATCAAAAACTTAACCGGAAGTTACCTGTAGTTCCAGCTACTTGGAAGGCTGAAGTGGAAGGATCGCCTGAACCCGGCAAAAGCCAGCTATTATTATTACTGCCCAGATGATTTACTTCCTCGTTCTGGATTATCTCAGTTTTGTCATCTTCCAGATGGGAATGTTTGTAAAATACGTGCCCCGAGTTCCTGAGAATGTTGCTAAGAGAATTGGTTCATTACCTGAAAGTGCTGAGGCACTTCAGCCTCCTTGATGACCAGAGCAGTGACGAGTGGGGATTACTGGGGACCCTCTAAGGACTTGCAGCAAATGGGCTTAGGGTTTCTGCTGCTGGCTCATTTGTCCATTTTTCCATGTGACTTGAAAGTCACCCTGTGCCGAGGCCTGGGTGTAGCCCTGGAGATGTGAGATCGCAGCAGCCTGGCCCTACCTGCCAGAGTGCCTGGTCCATTCCAAATAACTTACTCCCTTTTTCTTGGCCAACAGGAGAGGCTTCCACAGCCAGGACCTGCCCTCAGGAGCTTCTCAGGGGTGAGTATTTGGGGCAGACTGGGTGGGGAATAAGAGGCTGGGGAATAAGAGGCTGGGGACTAGGACCTTGGGCCAGGAGGGCGGGGCAGTCAGCTGACCTGATGGGTCCCATGCAGAGGCTGCCGTGCTAGGTTTGGGCACCAGCTAGCCTGAACCTCAATCTACCCTAGGATAAGAAGGGGATAGAACCCCTGACCTAATTCCTGGGCATCAGGAGAAGTATAGGAGAGAGCTGACAGAAGGGTCTTTGAAGCTGCAGGCGGATGGGCTCAGCATTAGAGTGTGTAAACACAAGACTGTGCCGGGTGGTGGAAAGAGCACTGAATGGAGAGTCAAGAATTTGGTTTCAGTCCAGCTGTTTCCTGACCAAATCGAGAATTTTTTTATTTTGTTGAGTCGGAGTCTTACTCTGTCACCCAGGCTGGAGTGCAGTGGCACACTCACGACCACTGCAGCCTCAACCTGCTGGGCTCAGGTAATCCTTCCATCTCAGCCTTCCAAGTACCTGGAACCACAGGCATGCGCCACCACACCCAGCTAGTTTTTTGATTTATTGTAGAGACGAGGTCCCACTATGTCGCCCAGGCTTGTTCTCGAATCCCTGGGCTCCAGTAATCCTCTCGTCTCCGCCTCCCAAAATGCTGAGATTACAGGAGTGAGCCAGGGCATCCAACTCAAACCAAGAATTTTGAGCCAATTACTCTCTGCATCAGATGATGCAAGTTCTCTGCATCAGATGCCAACTCCTGCTGACCTCCACTTCCACCCCATGATTGTTGGGGAATAAAATAAAATGAAGGCTAGGAAGTTACTTGTCATTATTACCAGTAAGAACTGAGGTTAGACACCAGTAAATTCTTTCCTGGAGGAGGGGGACGAAGGGGAGGGCGGATGGCAGGGCAGAGGACAAAATCCTCTGCTCTGGTGAGTGTTGCTCCCTGGAAGGCCAGAGACTCCTCCAGGGCCCTAACCGGCCCCTTCTCCCCCAGGGACGCCGGGCCAGGCGCTGCGGCTGGGGGCGCTGCGGCTGCTGCTTTTCAAGTTGCTGCTGCTGGACGTGCTGCTGACCTGCTGCCGCCTCCGCGCCCTGCACGCCGCGCGGGGGAACCCCTGGCCCCGCCGCCTCCTCCCGCCGCCGCCGCCCGCCTGCGAGCCCTCAGCTCCCAGCGACTGCACAAGACCAAGGGCCGAGGGTCTGCCGGGTCCCCCTGCCCGCCGCTGCAGCCTAGGGACCGCCGTCTGCGTGCGGAGCCCTGGAGACCAGCGCGGGAGGAGGGAGCGTTCCCCACCAACCGAGCTTGGGCCGGGTGCTCATGACCCGCCCTCAGTCCTCCTTCCTGGAGTCGCAGAGCATGTTTTGTTCCCCTCCTCCTGCAGGCTGGAGCTTCCTGGGGGCTGGGCTCTGCCTCCCCCCTCAGACACGAGGGCTTTCTGAGAAAGAGACTGTGTCTCTGCCATCAGACTGGGAGCCCCTCGAAGGCGGTGATTCACCCATGTATTGGGGCATTTGAGGTGCAGATAACTGAGAACAATTAAAGAAAAACTTACATGACCCAAGCAAATGACAAATATTTGAATTCACGTCTGCCCTGGGAGGAAGGAATTTGGCAGAATTAGAGGAAGAAGAGATCCAGGAAGGCTTCCTTGAAGAAGAGGGCTTCCTGAGAGTGAAAACCTGGGGCCGGGCTCGGTGATCCTAGCACTTTGGGAGGACAAGTCGAATGAATTGCCTAAGCCGTGGGTTCAAGACCAGCCCGGGCAACTTGGTGAGACCTCATCTCTACAATAAATAAAAAATTAGCCGGGTGTAGTAGCGCATGCCTGTAGTTCCGGCTACTTGGAAGGCTCAGACGGTAGGATCACCGGAGCCCAGCAGGTCTCCAGTGATCTGGAGAGGCCGTGAATGTGCCACTGCTCTCCAGCCCGGCTGACAGAGTGAGACTCCGACTCAAGAAAAAAAAGAAAAAAAGAAAAAACCTGGGAACTGCAGAGTGAGGCTGATGGTTGGTGAGGAAGCTGTCCCATCTCTGTCTTCTTCCCCCTATAGCCAAACTTGGGCAAGGCCCCCTCTGTCTCCTCACCATAGCCCAACCTCTATGAGAGGTCAGGGCAGGGATCCCAGGAAGCCAGGAAGCCAGGAAGGTGGATGCTAGGCCTGATGTGAAGTCTTGTACAGACTCGACAGAAGTGAACGGGGCAGGATTCCCAGGTAATGGGATTGGTTCCAGTGCCAAGAGCACCAGATGGTAATTCCAAATTTATAGGTTATTAATCAATTGAGGATTATTATTCATTTGACAGATATTCATTGAGCGTCGACTCTGAGCCAGGTACTAAAGAAGTTTGACTTTTGGGGTTTGGTTTTTTTTCCTAATGAAGATTCTTGCGCCGATAGAATATGAGGCTCACGCTTACAATCCCAGCGCTTTGGGAGGCAGAGGCAAGAGGACTGCCTGAGCCCAGGGGTTCAAGACCAGCCTGGGCAACTTGGCGAGACCTCTACAATAAATTAAAAAAAAAAAAAAAAAGAGTATGAGGCTCCCATAATGGAGTACAACTTGTGTGTCCCCTGTTTCACCAGCCAATGAGGAGATTCTCTCACCTTTTTTGGGGGAATCTTTGGGTTGGGGGATCCCACAGCTGCTGGGCATGAATCTGTCCACCATCTCCAGAGGGCATGCTCCTTCCCTGACACACAGACTGAGGCAGGGGATGAGCTGGGACCAGGGAGGGATCCAGCTATAGCCTGACTTTCTGCAGTGACTGTCCCTTTCCCATGGTCAGCCCAGATGCTGAGCCCAGGACTCCTGCCAAACTAATTCTTGCCTCGGTAAATGTATTCTCAGAAGTCCTTTTGTTCATCCCAAAAGTAGGGCTTTCCTCTTTTCATATTGCCTCAATTCTCAAACCCTGCCCCAGCCTCTCAATCCCCACTGTGGCAGCTTTAATTAACATTTCCCCAGAAGGCTTCTAAGCCTAGGTAAATCAAGGCCAGGCTCTGAACCTACCAGTCTTATCAAGCCTAGAAAACGTGGAGGATCTCAGGAGGGTATACTGACCCTGTACACTGTAGAATTCCACGTGCCACAGCCCCTGCCTGTCCAAAGTGCCTGTTACCAACACAGTTGTTTTGAGCAAGAAGCTAAGGTCAGAAAATGACAAGTCAAGGGTAGTCTCAGTCCTTTGAAGTCTTCATAAAATAGCATAAATATCCAACCTCTAGGTAGGAAACATAAGGTATTGGGGTTTTACTGGCAATTTGAAGACAACTTCACAGAGAAGCAGTCTTGGTCTGTGTGTGTCCACAGGACACAGAACCAAAGAGTGCCCCTCTTAATGACACAGCAGATGGGAGCCTTATTGAGCATCTCCTTGTGCCAGGCACTCTGTTGTTGCTGGGGAGGTGGAAGGGAAATGCAGTTACTCATCAACCAAAATTCCTGCCTTCTGGGAGCTCAGGATCCAAAGAAAGAAATAACAGGGCAGCAAAAAAATAAAAATAAAAAAGATATTGGGATTACATGCTGAAAAGAAAACTAATTACAATCTGCTCAATACGCTTTAATTTTTTTTTTTTTTTTTTTTAGTTGGGGTCTCACTCTGTTACCCAGACTGGAGTACAGTGGCATGCTCACAACCACTGCAGCCTCGACCTGCTGGGCTCAGGCGATCCTTTCTCCTCAGCCTACCAAGTAGCTGGAACTACAGACACGTGCCACCACGCCCGGCTAATTTTTTTATTTGTTGCAGAGGTGAGGTCTCGCCAAGTTGCCCAGGCTGGTCTCGAACCCCTGGGCTCAGGTAATCCTCTCACCTCCGTCTCCCAAGTGCTGGGATTATAGGCGTGAGCCACGGCGCCCGACCAGCTTTAATTCTATTAACCTATCTGAGCTTCCCAACAACAGGTAAACCTCGCACAGCAACTAAGGCCGTCATTTTGTCATCATATAAATGGAAACTGAGGCTCAGAGAGGAAGGTATTTATTCCAGTTCTCACAAGGGAAAAATCCAGGGTTAGTGGACACTAAGAAGCTTGAAGGCTTGGGACTGAGTCGTACTCTAAGCGTCTACTAGAGTGACTGGCTACAACAATAATACAATTTAAAAACAGGTGCTCAGTAAGGGCTTGCGGCATTCTGACCTCGAAAGGGAAGTGACGTTTAAGGAAGCGGAGAAAGCCGTGAAGCCGGCTTCCCCACACCTTCCAGGAGCAGCGGGCCCGATCCCGTCTCACCCGGGCCCAGCCCCGGGCTTCTACTCCCGGGTCCAGGGCTTCCATGCTCTCCCAGCGCCTCCCTTAGGGGTTGGGAAAAGATGTTGCTATCATAGGTCGCTGAGGCCACTATCTTCTCTCTTATTGGCCAAGGCCGAAAAAAGATCGTCCTCCCATTCGCTAGCAGGCAAACCCCGAGGAAGCCCATTGGCTGTGTCGTCCTCAGCGCTCTATCCGCTCTGAAAGCGGCCGAGGCCGTGAGGGGAGTGGGCGGGCCGGGGGCTCGCTGTTGCCGTGGTTACTCGGAGGCACGTGTGCAGTCCCGGAAGCGGGTCGGGGAAGAGGCTCAGCGCGCGCCGCGGGAGGAAGCATCCCCCGGTCCGCTCGGGTCGGGTCCGGCTGGGCCATGGAGTCGCTGCCTGAGCCCACGTCCCGCTGTCTGTTGCTTCTTCGCTTGCTGCTGCTGCTGCTACTGCTGCCGGCCCCGGAGCTGGGCCCGAGCCAGGCTGGAGCAGAGGAGAACGACTGGGTCCGACTGCCCAGCAAATGCGAAGGTGAGGGGGCGGGGCTCGCGGGGCGGATCCTGCAGGAGGGGCGGGCACAGGGGGCGGGGCGTGCGCCGGGAGGTCGGGGGATGGCGGGTTCTGAGCGCTGGTGATCCCCTTCGTTCCTTGAACCTGCTGTGTCCTGGGTGCTGGGCTGGGCTGGGCTCTGGGACATCGAGATGGGCGAGAGGTTCGGTCCCGGAATACCTGGAGTTAATAAATCGGTAGAAACAAGCAATTACAGTCCAGAGTAGTGGATGCCACGACAGGGGAGGTACAGGGCTTTGGGGACTGGGTGAGGAGCGTCTGATCGAGCCTGGAGTGGGGGCGAGGGTGGAGACTGTGTGTGAGAGTCAGAGAAGGCTTCATACAGGAAGGCTGAAGAATAATTAGGGGTTAGCGGATGAAGAGAAGTGGAAAGAGAGGGGCCCCACTCAGAGGAAACTACAGATGCAGTAGCCTGCAGGCTGAGAAGCAATGTAAGAGTTTGAGGAACTGAAAAGGTCCTTATGACTCGTCTTGGGGGAGGAAGAGCCTGAGACTATCTCCTTTGTGCCTTCACTGTAACCTAATCTATGTGGTTGTCTGTTGCCCCCACTAGCAGCTTCTTGAGGACAGGGATTTTGTCTCAGATATTTATTTGCACAGTATCTGGTAGGCACTCGATACATGTTTTTGGACTAAATTTGATTTAATGGAGGGTTATGGGGCTATGGATGTGTTTGGAGGAGGAGGAGGGTCTGAGGCCTAAGGGGTCCCTTTGGGGAAAGAATAGAGCCTGGAGGGAACATGATGTGGGAAGACGATTTTAGGAATATGGAGAAAGGGTGAGTCCCAAAGACAAAGGAATTAAGGCAAGGTGGGGGGAGAGGGAGTAGAGGGTAGAGGGGGAGAGAGGGAGGGAGCTTGCCAGTGATCCAGGACTATGAAAAGCCTACTTCTTCCCCTTCTACTTCTTAGTTTTCTCCTCAGACCTTTATAGCCACTCCTTCCTTCCCACCTCCCAACCCCCCCAGGAAGTTGGCTATGAATCTGTGTCATCTGAATTGAAAGCTTCCATCAGGCCAGATGTTCCCCAAACACTGGTAAGGGGAATAGGTTGATTTGGGACACATAATCTTTCCATTAGAGAGATTAAAGTGAGATGCTCCAGAGTTAAGCCGACTTCACTGGTAGGACAACCAGTTCTAGCCTGTGCCTCTCTCTCTTACTTTCTTGAATAGACAGTCAGAGGGTTATGATGCTTTCCTTTCAGTCTTTTTTTTTGAATCTGAGTTTCACTCCAGGCTGGAGTACAGTGGCACCATCTTGGCTCACCGCAGCCTCTACCTACTGGGCTCAGGTGATCCTTCTGTCTCAGCCTCCTGAGTAGCTAGAACTATAGGCATGTGCCACCATCCCTGGCTAGTTTTTTTTTTTATTATTTGTAGAGATGAGGTCTCACTATGTTGCCTAGGCTGGTCTCAAACTACAGAGCTCAAGCAATCCTCTCTCCTCGGTCTCCCTGCTGGGGATTAGAGCCACTGCACCTAGCCCCTTGATTCACTCTTCCTCTAGTCCTAATGATATTCTTTGAGGGTTTCACTTCCTCTTCTTTTTGTTTTTCATCTTACTCTGATACCAAAGAGTCCATACTGCTTCTCTTACTATTCTCATAGTCTGAGAAGCTCACATTTCTTTTCCTTAGGAGACATTGAGACTCATAGTAGCATAGAGATAACCAGGATTTTAGAGGTCATTGTAACCTAACCTTATTTTGTAATTGATGATGATTAAGTTAAAGGGATTTTCAGTCACAGAATGGCTTGGTAAACTCAACCCTTAGGCTTCTTTTTATATTGTATTTATTTATATTTATTAGTAATACAGCCTTGTTATTAAATGCTGACTGTGTCTTGCCCACAAAGCCTGCCTCCTGGCTCAGTAGCCTGAGTGGAACAGGCCTCGGCACAGAGGAAAGAGAAGCTGCCCAGAAAAAAGAGGGGGTGGTTGTCTGTGAGGGTCTGGGGTCTGTGCCATGAGTCTCCTCCAAGTCTTGTTCTGGGTGGGATGCCCAGAGGAGGTCTTGAAGAGGTAATGTTTGGAAAAGAGCTGGAAAGCAAGACTGTGGTTGATGTGTGGTGTAAGAGAGAAAGGATGTTCCAAACCTTCTCCTCCCCCCTCCTGGAGCACTACATGTTTAAGGGCGTGGGAGAAGGGGGCAAAGGAGCCAGAAAAATTATGAGCTTGCACAGAGTATAGGACGGAAGTGGGGAAAAAGCCCAGATGGTCCTGGATGGAGAGCCAGGGAGGTGAGACATCCTCAGTTCATTGCTGACTCTGAGATCACCAGCCTGTAACTTGGAACTTTTGTGTATTCCAAGTTCTCCAACCCATCAATTAATATATATGTTATAAAATTTCACCAAGCAAACCTCTAGGGGATGTATTTATTTTTGTGGTAAATTGGTTTTCTCCCAAACTCTGCTGTCAGTGTTAAAACTGCTGATGGCATTTAGCCTGCAGAGTGTATTCCATTCACAGGCACCAGAAGTGCTCAGCCACAAACAGTCTCAATCAGCTATATTTATCCAGCATCCAACACATAGAGAGTCTTGGACTAGGGAAATACAGGAAAAGTCGAATACATGATGCACTTTGGGGACCCTTGTAGTCTAGGTGGAGGCATCTGAGATGACCCAAGGCCCTAGGCAGAGAGCATGGATCCTGCAAGGGCCCAGAATGAAATCAAGAACAAGTGGAATTAGTCCAGAAGGGCTTTCTGGGGGAGTGGCTTTTAATGTGAGGTTAGGAGGATGGGCTCACACACTTGATGGTGGCACTTTTTTCTGTTTGTTTGAGTTGGAATCTCACTCTGTCACCAAGACTGGAGTGCGGTGGCAGGATCATAGCTCACTGCAGCCTCGAGCTCCTGGACTCAGACAGTCCGTCCACCTCAGCCTCCCAAGTAGCTGGGACTACAAGCACACCACCATGCCTGGTTAATCTTGTGTTTAGTAGAGACAAGGTCTGACTATGTTACCTAGACTTGGCTCAATTTCCTGAGCTCAAGCATTCCTCCCTCCTCGGCCTCTCGAAATGCTGGGATTACAGGCATGCGCCACACTACCTGACCAGATGGTGGCACTTTTTATGCAGTAACAATTATTTGTTTATACCTTTGTCTGCTCCATTAGACTGAGTATCTGGAAGGGAAGGACCTTGTTTTCATCTCTGTATCCCTGGGCAGTGCCTGACACGAGTTGCTTAATAACTGTTTGAGGAAGGTATGAGGAAATGAGAAAATGAATGTACAGAAACGGTAGGAAGAAGGCCTCTCTGGAGGGGATGGAGCAAATGAACTTGGTAGCAGTAGAGAGCTGGTGTTGGAACAGATATGAAATCAAGTAATAAAACAACCGTAAAAGGCATTTTGGGAACAGTTAGGGAAATTTGAATATGGACTATTAGATTATGTTAGAATTGTTAATTCTTCGAGTATCATATTTGTTTTAATGGTTATGTAGGAGAAGGTCCTTGTTCTCAGGAGATGCATGATGACATTTAGAGGCGAAAGATCATATTTGCAACCTACTTTCAAGATGGTTTAGCAAAAACAGTGAATATAGAGATATATTATTAACATATTATATTATCATTATATTATTATATATTTTTTGAGTCAGAGTCTCACTCTGATGTCCAGGTTGAGGTGCACTGGCATGCTCATGGCCACTGTAGCCTGGACCTGCTGGGCTCAGGTAATCCTTCTACTTCAGCCTCCCAAGTAGCTGGAACCACAGGTATGCGCCACCATGTCCAGCTAATTTTTTAAAAAATTTATTGTAGAGGCGAGGTCTTGCCAAGTTGCCCAGGCTGGTCTCTTGCCCCTGGACTCAGGCAGTTCTCTCGCCTCTGTCTCCCAAAGTTATGGGATTACAGGCATGAGCCATCGTGCTCAGCTATCATTATATTATTATATTGTTATATATTATATGTTGGAGAGAGAGTGTGGCAAATCATTAACAACTGTTGAATACAAGTGAAATGTACATGATTATTCATTGCACTCTTTCAGCTTCTTTTATGTATGTATGAAATTTCTAAAAGTAAAATGATGGGGGCGTGGGCACAGTGGAAGAAATGGAGTGAGTAGCATAAGGGCCAGGAGTAGACACGGGGCAGTGGATCTTGGAGCCTTAGTTTCACATAGTAAACTCCATTTAGTGGTATGATACTAACTTCTTCCCTGCCTTGAGATTGACTTGGCCCGGTCTAGGGAAGAACGCCCACATGGGTCTTTTTTTTTTGGAGCTGGCCTCAGGAAGGTACAGGGTGTGCAGAAATGTGGGAATTTAGGGAAGATGTCAGAAGATACATGGAGGCAATGATTGCCGGTCCCTCCTCTGGGCCTTTTAGTCTCATGCACTCAGTGGGCTATGCTGTGTCTCCTTCCCCCAGTATGTAAATATGTCGCTGTGGAGCTGAAATCAGCCTTTGAGGAAACTGGCAAGACCAAGGAGGTGATCGGCACAGGTTATGGCATCCTGGACCGGAAGGCCTCTGGAGTCAAATACACCAAGTCGTAAGTGAATGGGGACTCACTGGCCTGGTTGCTTTGTTCCTGGAAGCTCTGGGGGCTTTGAGTTCCCTTCTCCCTTCCAACTGGGCAAACTCACCACAAGGGCGTCAGCTCTAACTGAGACCCAAGTTTATCTACTGGTTCTGCCCCCAACTAATTGTGTGACCAGCATAAACCCCTTAACTTATTTGGGCTAGAGGTTTCTCATCTGTGAAAGCGAGACTGTTGGACCATACTGGTGATTCCCAGACTCTTAGATTTCATGGAACAGTACAATTTTTTTTTGAGTCACAGTCTTACTCTGTCACCTCATGTCACCCAGTAGCTTGCTCCTGACCACCACAGACTTGACCTTCTGGGCTCAGACAGTCCTTCCACCTCAGCCTTCCAAGTAGCTGAAACTACAGGCATATGCCACCCCGCCCAACTAATTTTTTTATTTATTGTAGAGATGAGGTCTCGCCAAGTTGCCCAAGCTGGTCTTGAACCAGCGGGTTCGGGCAATCCTCTCACCTCGGCCTCCCAAAGTGCTGGAATTATAGCTGTGAGCCACTGTGCCTGGCTTCAAATTTTTTTAGAGACACAGTCTCGCTCTGTCACGCAGGCTGGACTACAGTGGTGCAATCATAGCTCACTACAGCCTTGAACTCCTAGGCTCTAACAATCCTCCTACCTTAGCCTCCCAAGTAGCTAGGACTGACCACAGCAATGCACCACCATACCCAGCTAACTTTTTTTTTTTGAGTTGGAATCTCATTCTGTCACCCAGACTGGAGTGCAGTGACCACTCCCAGCCACTGCAGCCTCCACCTGCTGGGCTCCGGCTATCCTTCTGCCTCAGCCTTCCAAGTAGCTGGAACTACAGGCATGCACTACCACACCTGGCTAATTTTTGATTTATTGTAGAGATGAGGTCTCACCAAGTTGCCCATGCAGGTCTTGAACCCTCGGGTTCAGGCAATCCACTCACCTCAGCCTCCCAAAGCGCTGGGATTACAGGCTGAGCCACCGAGCCCGGCCCAATTAACTTTTAATTTTTTTTTTTTTTTTTGAGTTGGAGTCTCACTCTGTCACCCAGACTGGAGTGCAGTGGCCGCTCCCGGCCACCGCAGCCTCGACCCGCTGGGCTCCGGCAATCCTTCCACCTCAGCCTTCCAAGTAGCTGGAACTACAGGCTCGCGCTACCATGCCCGGCTCATTTTTTATTTATAGTAGAGATGAGGTCTCGCCAAGTTGCCCAGGCGGGTCTTGAACCTGCAGGCTCAGGCAGTCTACTCACTTTTATTCTATCGCCCAGGCTGGAGTGCAGTAGCACGATCATGGCTCACTGTAGCCTCGACATCCTGGGCTTAGGCGATCCTTCCTCCTCAGCCTTCTGAGTAGCTAGGACTATAGGTGCACACCACCATGCCTGGCTTTTTTTTTGAGTCAGAGTCTCACTCTGTTGCCCAGGATGGAGTGCTGCAATGGTAGTCATGGTCACCGCAGCCTCGACCTCCTGATTCAGACAATCCTTCCACCTCAGTCTTCCAAGCAACTGAAACTACAGGTACACACCACCATGCCCAGATAATTTTTTGGTGTATTGTAGAGATGAGGTCTTATCAAGTTGTTCGGGCTGGTCTCGAACCCCTGGGCTCAGGCAGTTCTCTCACCTCCACCTCCCAAAGGGCTAGGAATACAGGCTTGAGTCTCCACAACTGGCCCTTATTTTTGTAGAGACGAGGTCTTGCTATGTTGCCTAGGCTGGTAACTCCTGGGCTCAAGCAATCCTCCTGCCTCAGCCTCCTAAAGTGCTGGAGTGGCAGACATGAGCCACTGTACCTGGCTAAAATTTTTTTATACAGACTGGGTCTCACTCTGTTACCCAGGTTAATCTCAAACTCCTGGCTTCAGACAGTCCTCCCACTTCAGCCTACCAAAGCACTGCAATTACAGGTATAAGCTACTGTGCCCTGCCTGATTTTGTTTTGTTTTGTTTTATTTTTGAGTTGGAGTCTCACTCTTGTCACCCAGACTGGAGTGCAGTGGCATGCTCACAGACACCGTAGCCTCAACCTGCTGGGCTTAGGCAATCCTTCTACCTCAGCCTTCCAGATAGCTGGAACTACAGATGCACACCACCATGCCCAGCTAGTTTTTTGTGATTTATTGTAGAGACGAGGTCTTGCCAAATTGCCCAGGCTGGTGTCGAGCCCCTGGGCTCAGGCAATCCTCTCACCTAGACCTCCCAAAGTGCTGGGATTACAGGCTGAGCCACCACGCCCAGCCCAGATTTTTTTTAACATATTGATAACATAGCTTTACCAACATTTTATTTTGCCAATTATACATATTAGAAACAAAAAACCCAAAAAGCTTCTGTCAGCTATGATCATCCTTTCAAAATGAAATGATGTCTTACTATCAAAATTTAATACATTTTGCTGAGTACTGAATCATTTAGCTTTATAAAAGATTCCTTCCCTTAGAGCTGTTAAAATGTTGTCTCTCTGGTCTATGTTCCAGCATTTCAGAGCCCCCAGACCAGATGACCTATCTTCCTTCCAGCTCTGACTTACCTCCCGTTGGTGAGATGTGCAGGTGTTGGGGCAGCAGGGCTGGAGGGACGGACTACGAACCCACTGGGGCTAGGAGGGAAACTCAGGTCCTTTCGTGCTGCTGTCTCGGCAGGGACTTGCGGTTAATCGAAGTCACTGAGACCATTTGCAAGAGGCTCCTGGACTATAGCCTGCACAAGGAGAGGACCGGCAGCAATCGGTTTGCCAAGGTTGGATTTGTGCTTGTCCTTTGTGCCTGGGGACCAGGCCTGCATGCTCCTCAGTGTGTCCGCTGGTGTGAGTGTGGTTTGAAGATCATGCCCTAGGAGTGTCCCTCCCTGCCGCTTCCCATTCTTTCATTGCCATTCCCACGTCTCCCCTCCAGGGTAGCCCAACTTTTCAGTGGCAATAAGCAAAGCATGATGACTGGGCCTCCCCATGAAGGTCCTCCCTCAGTCTCAGACACAGGCAGAAATGCTCCAGAGTCACAGCCCCCATGGGCATCTAAAACACTTGAACAAGGAGAACTCAGCAAGGTCCAGAACTCCTGGACTCAAGCAGTCCTCCTGCCTCAGCCTCCTAAAATGCTGGAATTGCAGGGATGAGCCAGTTTACCTGGCTAAAATTTTTTTGTAGAGACTGGATCTACATGAGGAAAGATGGGGATTTAGGGTTGATGTCAGAAGACACTTGGGGTGATTGCTCATTCCCTCTTCTGGGTCCACGTGATGGGCCTCCCACAAGCCCTACTAGGGTGCCTTGTGACATTAGTGCACTCGCTATATGCGTGAGTCCTTTTCTCTCTGTAGAATGACTTTGCTTATGCAAGGTCCATAGTTCTCTGTATCTGCATCTTAGGTGCCTGATACATGGTAAGCCAGTTGCCATTCACATTTTTCTTTTTTTTTTTTGAAGTTGGAGTCTTACTCAGTCGCCCAGACTAGAGTGCAGTGGCCGCTCCCGGCCAACGCAGCCTCGCCTGCTGGGCTCTGGTGATCCTTCTGCCTCAGCCTTCCGAGTAGCCGGAATTACAGGCGCACGCTACCACGCCCAGCTGATTTTTTTATTTATTGTAGAGGTTAGGTCTCGCTGCCCAGGTGGGTCTCGAACCCGCGGGCTCAGGCAATCCACTCACCTCAGCCTCCCAAAGACGCGGGATTACAGGCTGAGCCACCGAGCCCAGCCATTCACATTTTTCTACCTAAGATTCGTTCTAGCAAAGATCAGTCATAAACCTTGGATACGGTTGCCTAAGGATATAATCTCAAGCAGCAGAAATTTGTATGAATTTTGCATTCTATTTGGTAATAAATGTTTGCTTTAATAAAAAGTTTTAAGGCCAAGCATGGTGACTCACGCCTATAATTCCAGCATGTTGGAAGGCCAAGGTGAGAGGACTGTCTGAGCCCAGGAGTATGAGACCAGCCTGGGCAACATGACAAGACTTTGTCTGTATAATAAATCAAAAAATGAACCAGGCATGGTGGCAGCTACTTCCAGCTATTTGGAAGGCTAGGGCGAAAGAATCACCTGAGCCTAGCAGGTTGAGGCAGTGGTAGCTGTAATCATGCCATTGTATTCCAGCCTGGGTGACACAAACTTCTACTCAAAAAAAATTTTTTTAAATTATTTTCCATAGCAAAAAAAATTAGACACACTTTATTCGTCAGTAACAGGGTAATTAAATACATTGAAGGGCCACTCAGTGGACTATATGCAGCTAGAAAACAAGGAATGAGCCAGGCATGGTGGCTCACGCCTGTAATCCCAGCACTTTGGGAGGCAGAGTCAAGAGGATTGCCTGTGCCCAGGGGTTCAAGACCAGCCTGGGCAACTTGGTGAGACCTCATCTTTACAATAAAAAATTTTAGCCAGGCGTGGTGGTACATGCCTGTAGTACCAGCTACTTAGAAGGCTGAGGCGGAAGGATCACCTGAGCCCAGCAGGTGGAGGCTATGGTGGCCGTGAGCATGCCACTGTACCTCAGCCTGGGAGATAGAGTGCAACTCTGACTCAAAAACAAAAAAACAAAAAGAAAGCAAGGAATGAGAGAGCTCTTTATGAACTTAATGAAACTGATCTTCAAGGTGTATTGCTAAGTAAAAAAGGCAAGCGGAAAATAGTGTGTATGCTACACTAATGCTTGTGTAAAAAACAGGGATGGGAGATAGGGTATATCTGTATGTTTGTATCTGACTGAATTACCTAAGGGAGGAAATGAATAATATGTTGTCTCGGGATAAGACCTAGGTGGCTAGCAGGCATCGTTTTTACAGATGAAGGGTCTTCCTGCCTTGGCTGTGTCCTTTTCCCACTGAAGAAAGACACAAACCAGAAAGAACCTGGAGCAGGGAGAGAGTCTGAATGCAGAGGAGTGAGCATGTCCGGCCACAGCGAAGGGAAAGAGCTAAGGCACACTTATCTCCTGGACAAGGAATATCAATTCTGAGGGCCTGAAGACAGCAGCAGATCTTTTTGAAAAGACGAGCTGTGGGGAGGCGGGTGAGGGTGTACATGTGCAGAGGTTGTGGGAAGCAGGCCTAAGAGGGGAGAGGAGGGTAAGGTCAAAGGTGAGGAGTCTAGCAGGTCTTAACTCTCAGAGCTGGGTCCTCAGTCACCACTGGGAGAGGAGGCCAGGAGGTGGTGAAGGACTCTACACCTCCCGTGTCTGGTTGCTTCTTCCAGGGCATGTCAGAAACCTTTGAGACACTACACAACCTGGTCCACAAAGGGGTCAAGGTGGTGATGGACATCCCCTATGAGCTGTGGAACGAGACTTCTGCAGAGGTGGCTGACCTCAAGAAGCAGGTACGGGCCCGTCAGCCCCTGGAGGACGCTGTGCCTAGTGAGGGGGCGGGTGGGGATTGGGCCTGTTCTGAGGAAGGTCACTGAGAGCTGGGTGACTTCAGTCAAGCCGTTTCCCCTCTCTGACTTCAGCTGCCTTTGGCGAATCAGAGCCACCTGCCTTCTTGCGGTGGATTGTGAGGCTTAGCTCCCGCAGGGCTGAGTCTGGTGCTGGGTTTTGCCAACATGAGCTGTTGTGATTAACAGTGCGACGTGCTGGTGGAGGAGTTTGAGGAGGTGATCGAGGACTGGTACAGGAACCACCAGGAGGAGGACCTGACTGAATTCCTCTGCGCCAACCACGTGCTGAAGGGAAAGGACACCAGTGAGTCCAAGGGTGTGGAGAAGGCAGGGCAGGTTGGCCTTCGATGATCTTACTGTTTGCGCTCCCTCAGGGGAAGTGGGTAGGAGAGGCTGGAAAAGAAATAGAGGGCATTAGAGGATCTCTCCCTCAGGGGGCTTGGCGAGACGTGGTGAAGTAAGAGGCACTAGAGCCAGGTGCAGAACCATGCACTCAAGTCACATGTCTCCAGGGGGCCTGATGGCCACAGTGAGGCATGAGGTAGGGATGTGGGTGCCAGGCACCAGTTCTAGTTACTATTCCCAGTGGCTCCCTAGTCGGCACCTCACCCAGCAAAGCAGTCCTGAGGCAGCTCTCTTGGGGTATCTCTCCTCCCCACCCAGGTTGCCTGGCAGAGCGGTGGTCCGGCAAGAAGGGAGACACAGCTGCCCTGGGAGGGAAGAAGTCCAAGAAGAAGAGCAGCAGGGCCAAGACATCAGGCGGCAGGAGCAGCAGCAGCAAGCAGAGGAAGGAGCTGGGTGGCCTTGAGGGAGACCCCAGCCCTGAGGAGGATGAGGGTATCCAGAAGGCATCCCCCCTCACACACAGCCCCCCGGATGAGCTTTGAGTCGAACCCAGTGTCCCCTGTACCGAGACCCCTGACTTTGAAGCGGAAGTGTCTGGGGCTTGACTCTGGCAGGCACACATGGCTCTGCCGGCTGCAGCTCCTCCCTGCCTTAGCTGTGACCCTCTAAAGCCAAGGAAAGACACAAGCCCCAGGAAGAACGCAGAACAGTCGTGGTCAGCCCATGCCGGCCTATTCCCTCCACCACGCATTTCTTTCCTGACTCAGGCTTCAGGTAAGCCGTGTGGTTTCAGGACTGTGAGGACTCCAGGGTGAACTCAGGAGGGGCAGGTGTCAGAGCTGGGCCCTGGGACTGGAGCCCCTCCAGAGCCTGTGAGGAGGGCAGCCGGGCCTTCTCCCCCCCACACACAGGGAAGAAAGACTGCAGCACCCCCTAGCACCTCCTCTCTGCTCACCCGCTCCTCTGGACACCTTATATACTCTGCCTGGTGCTCCGCAGGACTCACAGAGTAAAAACCTTCTGACCCCTTGGTTCCGATTTCTGAGTCCTCTTCAGCCCTCAGAAGCATCCTGGAGCTCCTTGTTCTCTCTGCCCCTCACCTTCCAACCTTCGGGGCTGAGGAGGGGAGGCTGCTCCCATCCTCCCATTATCAAGGCTGAACCTGCCAACTGTTGGGAACAGCACATGCAGGGAGAGCCAGGGTGGTTGCATGGTGAGGTCTGGAGTGGTGGCTGACCCCATCCCTCAGCTGTCCCTCATGGAGTAGTGTGCAGCTGTCTATGTTCTCCTGAGCTCACAGGCCCTCCCGTCGCACTCCCCGGCTCACACTGCTCACTTTTGTCCTGGGCATCTGGCTGCCCTCCTTTCCCTGTCTCTCCTGCCTCTTCTCCCCCAAGGCCTCCCATTTGTTGTGTAAAGTGTTAACTGGATACCCAGTCCACTCCCTCCCCTCCCCCACCTCCATCTGGCCCTGCCTGTTGGTTTTGAACCTTGTTCTCTGATGACCACACTCTGCTCTTTCTAACTGATGTACCTGGCACCCAGAGGGGAGGACACCCAGTCTCCCAACAACACCTGGTTACACCATGTTCTTTGGGGCCAGGGGAGGAACTGGCTGGCCTCTAGGAAGAAGGGGTGGGAGGTTCAGGCACCTCCCAGTTTGTCCTGAGGGCAGTGATCAGGGCTGGTGGTAGCAATAGTGATGACAAATATATGTATTCACAGTGCTTTAACTTTAACCTTTACAGCACACTTGTGAGGTGGGTGCTGTTGCTCCCATTTTGTGGAAGAGAAAACAAGCTGAGTCAAATGATGTGCCCAAGGTCCTGCTGTTGATGGGGGTATAGCTGGGACTGCACTCTCCACAGCTGCCAGGGCCTCTTCCCCTGGCACCTGGCAATAATGGTGTCATTTGTATTGAGCTGGTTTCTTGGCCTTAATCCATCACCACCTCCAAGACTCTTTTCAAAGGAAAACAGGAAGCAGATGTTGCTTCTTGGAAAAAGAGCATGGCAGGAAATCCAGCCAGATATGCGCCCTCATCGGATCCCCTGTGAGCACCCACACTGACTCCACCTTACACTTTCTGGGCTAGGCCAGGCAGGCAGGAGGGGATTGCTGCTGAGGGCTCCCAGGGTCTACTGCAGAGGCTCTGGGGTCTGAACTCCTGGGAATGAGGGACCCCTTCCAGCCTGGGGCCAGCCTCTTTTCCCCTTCTCCAGGTTAGGGCAGCTAAGGCCATCGAGAGTGGAGTGCAGGGAAAGCTTTTTCTCCTTTGGCTGTTGAGGCATAGAACGGGTCCTTGGAGGATGATACCTTTTTGGGCTAGCCCCTGCCTCATCTCCAGGACTGATGACCCCCTGTTAAAGGGGCTGGTGGGCACCGAGAGTCCAGTCTAGATTCAGATCCTGTCCTGGACTTTGTTCTGAGCATAGAAGATGGGTGTGGTGGTGTGGGAGGCTGGGACCCGGAGTGGAGATCTGTTTGCAGCCCCATGGACTGTCTAGGATTTGGTGGCCAGTCTTGGTCCCCCATTCAGTCACTAACTCACAGCACTTCAGCGCCTAGATTATCTCTGTCCCCAGAGTCTCATTGATTCTTAAAGTAGTTCGAGGCAAATACCTAACCCCTTACTGGGGTGTTGGCCCAGTGACCCAATCCCCAGCCTAGGCCCAGATCTGAGGGCAGGCAGCACTGTGACTGCTTTGCCCTTTGACCCATGGCTGCTGCATGCCCATGCCTCCCGAGGGCCAGACTTGTGGCATATTTCCCAGCTCTGCACCCAACCCACCCCGGCAGGCAGCCCAGCCTACAAAAGGCAGAATGCAGAGTCTGGCTTCCCAGGCTTTTATTTTCGTCTCCACAGCACACTAGCCTTTTGAACTTGGGCATTGCCTCCTACTTTCCCACACCCCTCCCCATTCATAAGGGGGCTGCCTGAGCTCAAGCTAACCTGATTTTGGTCCCCTTCTCAGAAACCTTATTAGAACAGGATTTCTTAAACTCTCCTGGACATGAGTCACCTGGAATGCTGTCTGGGCCCACCTCAGACCAGCCGACTTGGGACCTAGGAGTCCACATGTTTAACAAACATCTCAGATTCTTAAGATGGGGCCACTTGGAACCCACTTCAAGAGAAACCCAGGGTGTTGTCCTAAGAAGAGACATAGCTTAAATGAAGTTGCATCAGGTCAGGGTCTGGTCAGAAACCCAGAGTGGATCCATCTCTGTTGGAGACTTCCATCAACCGGAACCACAAGGCCAGTTTGTTCTAGTTCAATGGTCAGAAGACCCAGAGGTTCAAATGGTGGAATCTTGAGGCTTGTCTCACAGGTGGCTGCATCAGGGCCTCTGGGTTCATTTTCAAGGGCAGCTCCTAGAAGCCAGACTCCTTTTCTTATTCCCAAGTTCTAGGTGGTGTCTCCATACGACATCTTTGTGCAAGTTAGAAAACATGTTCTTCATGCCTTTTGACTTTCATGTCAGAAAGTTGTTTTAATATAAGTATTGTTAGAATAAGTCACTTGACTGAATACCTGCCAGAAAATTATAATAAATCTACAGACACACGAGGCTTGTCATGTGCATGGCAGCCCCTTCACTGTGGAGCCTTACACGGTCCAGATGTTCACAGCAGCCGTCCGTCACTATAGTTCCCAAGTATGAATATGACTTCCCTTATTTTTTGATCTTGAAAGAAAGGAAAGCCCACTTTTCGTGACAGATGTATGGCCCATAATAAGTCACCTTTTTCAATGAGGCAGACCCCATTGTCAGCTCCAAGGGTGGCAACACCTGTCGGCACCAACTGCCCTTAAATAGAAAAGATTGTACAAAAAGAAAAAACAAAGACACTCAAAAGCCAGATATTATTTTGCTAGGAATTACACTTAACCCTTGAACAAAATGGGTTTGAATTGCATGGGTCCACATATATTCTGCCTCTACCACCCCTGAGACAGCAAGACCAAGCCCTCTTCTTCCTCCTACTCAATATGAAGACAGCAAGGATGAAGACCTTTACGATGATCCACTTCCACTTAATGAATAGTAAATGCATTTTCTTGTGATTTTCTTAATAACATTTTCTTTTCTCTCGTTTATTGTAAGAATGCAGTTTATAATGCACATAACATACAAAATAGGTGTTAATCAACTGTTTATGTTATCAGTAAGGGTTCCAGTAAATAGTAGACCATTAGTAATGAAGTTTTCGGGGAGTCAGAAGTTATACATGGATTTTTGACTGTGGAGAAGGGTCAGAGCCACTAACCCTGAGTTGTTGAAGGGTCAGCTGTACTCACCAGTGCAGTCTTGGTGTTTTAGATGGAACGGCATGTGCTAAGTCATCTCTTTTTTTGAGTTGGAGTCTCACTCTGTCGCCCAGGCTGGAGTGCAGTTGCATGCTCACAGCCATTGCAGCATCGACCTGCTGGGCCCCAGCGATCCTTCTACCTCAGCCTTCCAAGTAGCTGGAACTACAGGTGCATGCTACTACGCCTGGCTAATTTTTTGATTTATTGTAGAGACAAGGTCTCGCCATGTTGCTCAGGTTGGTTTTGAACCCACGGGCCCAGGCAATCCTCTCGCCTTGGCCTCCCAAAATGCTGGGATTACAGGCTTGAGCCACCACACCCAGCTAAGTCACCTCTTTCAATGAGCAATGTTTAGCCTGTGATCAAGGCTCAAATAGGGTATCATCTTTATGTTGCAGAATAGCTCAGTAAGCACATTTGTATATACTGAAGACATCTCACTAGAGGTTAGCACTCTTTAAAACAATTTTTTTTTTTTTT